TGTCGGGTTTTCCGGGCATGCGAAGAGATGTTTCGAGTCATGTGGGGTCTCTCCGCATGCCGGACACTCATTCGGCACATCCTCATTCAACCTACTCAGGTAGGAGTTTAACCTGCTGCAGTAGCCGGAGCGAAGTTGTGCAAGTGTTGTGTCTCGCTCCGGGAGACGTGTCGTGTGTGCTCGGGCGGACTGAGGTTAGCCGTGGAGGCTGCTCTGTTTGAGCAACAGGGGGCCACGTACGACGTGGTCCACTGTCTATGTGACCGTAGTCCCGAGCAGACTCTGAGGTGACTCCACCCCTCGCAGGCATTACACTTGACTGAGGTGGAGTTGTGGTGTAATCGTCTCCGGCATACACAACAGGTGTAGGTGTCTGGCCCTGGGTTTGACTCGATGCCAGCCCTGAGTAGAAGAATACGTAGTGAATGTAGCCCTATGGACGGACAACTTCTGAGATACTTCGCCGACCTAAACGGGGTTAGAACGCCGAAACAACAGCCCTTGGTCGGGTAAAACCCGAGTCATTCCGGTACGTAGAACCGGCTGTCGTGGGAATGATACTTGGTCTTTATTGTTGCTAGTAGATAAATCTAATTAAAGGCCGAAATTTTGATGAACATTTTTTAGATTAGAATTAGATTAGTTTTTGTGGACTTTTTGCAAGCTTTGAAACTTTTGTTTATGCGGTTTATGATATTGGTCGATCCATATTTTAAATGGAAATTATTTACAATAAATAATAAACATAAGTTACCAACAGCATCATTTTGAATGTTGCTATTATTTTACCCGCAACTATATGTATGTATATCACTTTAACAAATCTCTAATACTTTTTAAGACATTTACTGAATGGGGCATGTTGCCCCACGTACGCACAAAGGCTCTCGTCAGTGCTTTCATCTACTTCAAACAAGCGAAAACGCAAGAACAAAATGTGATTTTTGTAAATTTTTATAAGGGGTTCCCTAGGGACCCATACTGGGACCTGTTATAATATTGTTAGTCTATAAATGTCACTGTCTGGGCAGTATTGAATATTAGGCGGAAAGTATGAACGCACCATCAATATTTTGTATGAATGCACCCATCAACATATTGTATGAACAGGACCTATGCAGTCGGGGTTGCATTTTGCAAATGGCGATTTATGCTCTCTCTAAAATCGGACATGGGACCTGCCACGCCCTCTCCTCCTCCGCCCAACATCCCTTTAACCATCGCACATATAGGAAAGTTTCCTTAAAAATAAATATTTGGCGCCTACACATTTGCTATGGCTTACCCAATTTTTTCCGGATTTTGTAGTATGTGCCTTTATGTTGTCTAAAGAAGGGGAGGGTAGTACAATTTTATGCCGCCTCTAAAGGGCACGTGGATTTAATGAGAACCCTTTTGGACAGAAATAGGAAAAGATGTACGTACCTATATAATTGTTTGGGAACACCCCAATCTCGGGCCAGGGGTCAAACCATAAATCTACCGAATGGTAGTACGCACCTCTAACCACTCGACCACAGCGACTGCCGTCATCTTATTGACAAGCACTAAGATAAAAATAATAAAATTATAGTTTAAAAAACTAAAACCTCCCTATTATAATAGCCATTGCATGTAACTTGNGAAAACGCAAGAACAAAATGTGATTTTTGTAAATTTTTATAAGGGGTTCCCTAGGGACCCATACTGGGACCTGTTATAATATTGTTAGTCTATAAATGTCAATGTCTGGGCAGTATTGAATATTAGGCGGAAAGTATGAACGCACCATCAATATTTTGTATGAATGCACCCATCAACATATTGTATGAACAGGACCTATGCAGTCGGGGTTGCATTTTGCAAATGGCGATTTATGCTCTCTCTAAAATCGGACATGGGACCTGCCACGCCCTCTCCTCCTCCGCCCAACATCCCTTTAACCATCGCACATATAGGAAAGTTTCCTTAAAAATAAATATTTGGCGCCTACACATTTGCTATGGCTTACCCAATTTTTTCCGGATTTTGTAGTATGTGCCTTTATGTTGTCTAAAGAAGGGGAGGGTAGTACAATTTTATGCCGCCTCTAAAGGGCACGTGGATTTAATGAGAACCCTTTTGTGACAGCAATAGGAAAAGATGTACCTATATAATTGTTTGGGAACACCCCAATCTCGGGCCAGGGGTCAAACCATAAATCTACCGAATGGTAGTACGCACCTCTAACCACTCGACCACAGCGACTGCCGTCATCTTATTGACAAGCACTAAGATAAAAATAATAAAATTATAGTTTAAAAAACTAAAACTTCCCTATTATAATAGCCATTGCATGTAACTATNCAAGCACTAAGATAAAAATAATAAAATTATAGTTTAAAAAACTAAAACCTCCCTATTATAATAGCCATTGCATGTAACTTGAGAACAGAAATCGCTGTATCTTTTAGGCGCATCAATATTACATAGTTACATCCCGAGCTTATAAAAGGAAGTTAAAAAATAAATAACTGGGCACCGATGATTAGAAACAGTGATTAGTAGTCTGCATGTCATTGTCATGTCACTTTAATCACAAAGATGTTGAAATTTTTAGGTTTTGTAGAAAATGCAAGCAAGAGTTTTTGTGCCGTATTTGGCTTGATCACCGCACATATCGTCACGGTAAAAGATGGACGTAAATCGGTTGTATGCATTCTTGAAGGATGCTTGCTATATGAGTAAATTAGTGTGAACAATTCATGCGTAGTCATGAATTTCCACGAATAAATTCAAATTCTAGCGAATTGCATGCGAATATACGTTGACGTTGTTTTAAGTACATTTCTTGATAAATTTGAAGTGGAATTTTTGTAATATTTTCAGTCTTGTACACAAATTTTAGTGAATGGACGTGTTGTGCGATACTATTTTCAGCACAAACGGGCTTTTACAAGATGTGCATTTGCATATGTAAGTGCTACTTGTTTGTATATCCCCGTAAATTAAAATGTATCAGAAAAGTAGCCATTACATATAGGGATACATATCTTGCAAGAATGCTTTAATACTGTTCCATTAATGCATTTTTGTCTGTTTGAAAGATTAATACAGCCATATGCATCCAGCAGTAGTACAAGTGTATGGGTAGAGTACGCATACGCTCTGAGAAACCACGCGTGTTAAATGGAAATTAAGGTTCATTTATACTGGAATGTATACACAGCAGCAAGCTCATGCCACCAGCAGCGATGTTGCATGTTTAAGATTTCTACTGGGATACGACAATCTTTAACCCAGGCGACGATATGTATGTATATTAGCCAGCAAGGCTAATATCCTGAAGTAATTTAAAAAAATCGCAGTGTAGCGTTCGCAGTGTAAAGACAGAAGTTAGGAATAGAATGGGCCACCGCACACAAACACATTTTACGCCCAAATTACTCCTTGGGGAAGCGTAGTTCATATTTTAACATAAAATACCTCAGCTTCCCCGCTGTCAATTTTCCAATTTACATCGTCTAATTAAACCGTTTGCATTCTTTTCTCAGTTTTTTTGCGCTTTTTGCTTTGGGCTGCCCTGAACTATTCCATAACAATTTGCCTTTACCTTTTCGGTTCACAAAAATCGTTGCGCCAAATACACAAAGTTTTATTTACATTTCTCCTATTGCACAATGCACTTTTGAAGCTTTTTATCGGCTTCTTTCTGATTTCCACTATATCAAAAATTTAGTAAACATTCACTTGCACTGCTTTTAAGTTTGGCACAATCCGCGTCCACCTAATCTATTTGTTCTGCGTTTGATACACACTTTTTGATAATCACAATTTAATATTTCAGCTAGCTCTTTAATTTTGNCACTTTTGAAGCTTTTTATCGGCTTCTTTCTGATTTCCACTATATCAAAAATTTAGTAAACATTCACTTGCACTGCTTTTAAGTTTGGCACAATCCGCGTCCACCTAATCTATTTGTTCTGCGTTTGGTACACACTTTTTGATAATCACTATTTAATATTTCAGCTAATAGCTCTTTAATTTTTNCAGCAGCGATGTTGCATGTTTAAGATTTCTACTGGGATACGACAATCTTTAACCCAGGCGACGATATGTATGTATATTAGCCAGCAAGGCTAATATCCTGAAGTAATTTAAAAAAATCGCAGTGTAGCGTTCGCAGTGTAAAGACAGAAGTTAGGAATAGAATGGGCCACCGCACACAAACACATTTTACGCCCAAATTACTCNAGCAGCAAGCTCATGCCACCAGCAGCGATGTTGCATGTTTAAGATTTCTACTGGGATACGACAATCTTTAACCCAGGCGACGATATGTATGTATATTAGCCAGCAAGGCTAATATCCTGAGACAGAAGTTAGGAATAGAATGGGCCACCGCACACAAACACATTTTACGCCCAAATTACTACTTGGGGAAGCGTAGTTCATATTTTAACATAAAATACCTCAGCTTCCCCGCTGTCAATTTTCCAATTTACATCGTCTAATTAAACCGTTTGCATTCTTTTCTCAGTTTTTTTGCGCTTTTTGCTTTGGGCTGCCCTGAACTATTCCATAACAATTTGCCTTTACCTTTTCGGTTCACAAAAATCGTTGCGCCAAATACACAAAGTTTTATTTACATTTCTCCTATTGCACAATGCACTTTTGAAGCTTTTTATCGGCTTCTTTCTGATTTCCACTATATCAAAAATTTAGTAAACATTCACTTGCACTGCTTTTAAGTTTGGCACAATCCGCGTCCACCTAATCTATTTGTTCTGCGTTTGGTACACACTTTTTGATAATCACTATTTAATATTTCAGCTAATAGCTCTTTAATTTTTTGGTAAGATATTCGCTAGATTTTACACATCGCGCAAATTATCCGCTACCGAAACACATCTGTTGTTTATTTCACGCCATATTTCCAGCAACTGTCAAATTTGTTTCTTCTTTGGGCTCGTTCGTAAGAACCAACGAGTAGGGTACTCACCAGCCCTGTTGGTGAATCAGCGCCACCTAGCGTTGCCAGAAGGCGAATTTATTTTAAGCTGCATTTGCTTTGCACAATTTTAGCCCGAACACAATGAAAACGACGAGCTACAAACCAAATTATTTTAACACGTACTCTTATGTAGATAATTATTTTGACGACGACCGGCCTGCGCGACCGCTGTGGTTGTGGCCAGATTAGATCTATTTCCATTTTACTGGCGACAGATAAGGTTCTTCCTCTTCTTTTATGTCAAACACAAAATTCATGATGTCGCTGCCGCTTTCAAAGAAATCATGTCGCCATCGACAAAGCGTTTAGATAATGAAGATGACAAATTGGAAGCCGTGGTCCGTAGCTCATCGTTTTCAATGTGTTCAGAACTTTGCAGTAATGGGCTGTTTTTGCTTAAGGCATGTATGCAGCTCGCAAGTAAAGCAAAAACTCCATATAAAATGACGTACAAGAAATGTCTAATACCATATTCTGACCGACAACGAAAACACTTTGAAAACGTGTTTTGGGATTGTGGGCTGAAGGCTGTTCACACCGGCTGTTAGTGTTTTCATTGACATTTCTTACATCCTCTGATTACAGTTTTGCTACATAAAAACAAAACTGAAACGCTCTTCCCTCATTTTCTATTCATTAGCAACCACTTACTTTCATTCTTATTTTACTTTTGCCAGCCAATTAACAATAAATCCGAAATGGCGTATTAAAGATGATAAAATATGACTTTCACTTCGACAAATAATCGAAAAAAACTAGTGAAGACACCGATTGGAATGAGTGGAACGTGAGTTTTCAAGTAGTTTTCAGCGAAAACTGGTTTTCGTTTGACAGATTTTATATGGCGAAAACACAAGTTTTAAGTCGAAAACCAGTTTTAACACCGAAAACATGTTATCGACGTCGGTCAGAACATGGTATAAGAAATTTTCTTGAGTAAAATTTCCTTAAGGCAGTAAGCAGTTCTTAAGGAATTTTCTACGCTTTCTAGTACGGTTTTCTAAAGTTTTTTGTGAAAAAACAGCACAAGGCAACCCAGGGTTGCAACAGAAATATATGCCCGTTCCATTATCTCTTGAGGAAAGAAAGAGGCAACAGGCTGTGAAGTATCAAATATGTCAAAATTCCTTGGACACACACACGAAATAATGGTAATTTTTTCTTGGCTGTTTTCTTGAGAGCTGCATACAGGGCTCTGAATGCCACTCTAAATGTACATTTATTCATAAGAAATTCGTCACCTAAATGCAACTCCATTTTTGCATTAAGAATCAAATTGCTAAAAGCAACTCTGTGATCTTCCAAAATTTCCACGATTCGAACATGGTTTAATGAGAAAAAGTGGCAACATTGCTTTTTCGCGTATACAGTGGCTAGCTGCGTTTCAGTGATCGCCGATCGAGATTTCATTTATTATTTTACAGTATTTGGATAAAGAAAAGCTACGCAAATTCAACATCGATGTAATGCCGATAGAAATCTGGATGAATTTGTGATCAACTCTGTTTGTTTTGTTTCCTAATTAAGTGAGGACATTTTAATTGACAGCACCGACAAATGAATATATACACAAACAAATGTTCGGTTATGGTTAAAACAATTCAAGATTTGTATTGAATTTTTTGTTTAAAATTAATTTTTTTTCTTTTCAGTAGGGTTTTTTGTACATTAACTTCTGCGTGAGAATTGATCGTAATAGATACGGATCTGAATAAGCGACTGGAACACGGCTGTTTGTCAAAAGCATACGATTTCGAACTCTCGTAAATGTACATTTGCTAAAGCTGAAATTAGTCGAGAATGCAGAACGTATACTTAAACGCAGTCTGCATACGCAGAATTTTGTCGATTACTGGAGCCCTCAGTGTTGCTTACTACACTGTTGCCACTCTTCAATACCTTTTCATAAACTTACCCTTTCAACCACAATTTTTCGTGCAATAATAGATTGTAGCTAAATATAAACTACTTAGTTTTCAACAAAAACCTTATTCAATAGTAAATTTCACATATTTTAAACATATTTTGAATAAGAACTTATAACTTTTTTACCATCTGCAAAACTGACGAAGTGGCAACCATCTAAAGAAGGAGAAATCAGCTGACACGGAAAAATCTAAATTCCGCAGGTTTCTGCGCTACGGGCTACAACTACAGAAAAATTCTGCGGTGTTGAGTTTTCATTTACATGGCGCTTTGGTAAGACAGATCGTGTCAGCTGACTCGGGTTTACGTACCGGTAGGTTTACGTTCTTGACTAATTTCAGCTTAAATGCGATAGCATGAACGCTCTTCGAAAACATATGTTCCAAAGTGCTAAATGTAGCATTTTAAATGCAGAAAAAACGCTGTATTAACCTCATGTTTAGCTCAAACCAAAATGTTTAGCGAAATATTTTTTGGTGTTTATTGGGATTTAGCAAATGTACATTTACGCGAGTTCGAAATCGTATCGTTATGCAAATTCAACATCGATGTGATGCTGATAGAAATCTGGATCAATTTATGATCAACTCTGTTTTGTTTCATAATTAAGTGAGGAAATTTTAAATGACAGCACCGACAAATGAATATATACACAAACAAATGTTCGGTTAT